GATATGGATATAAATATATTTACCTACTAATTTACAGTATTTATATCCTGCCTTTATTTAATATCTTTTGTAAATAATTCAAGGTAGTGAACATACATAATACTCCTTCCTCCTTCTATGATATAAGTTTTTAAAATCTTCAGGGAGATCTTAAGGGAAATTAAGGAAAAAGTAAATGAAGAGAAAGAAGCATGTGTCTGTGAATAAAGAAAGAGGAACATAAGAAATAAAGCCTTTTAAATATTTTCATTGGTGTCTGGCAGTTTTTTATGTTCCAGACTTATTAGGTAATGTTTCCAATACTGACATAATGCTATATTGTAATAAGGAAGATAAGAATTCCTGTTAAAATCTGGGGGAAATCTCAAGATAAATTTGAACTAAATCTGCAACATTTTCAGCTAAATAAATCCATGTTTGGCAATCTTTTTAAGATACATTGAGTCAGATCCAGAATTAGTCTCATGATTAAAATAAATAAACCCTTAATATATTGTCCATATATTGTCCATTACTCTGAAGCATGGGTGTCAAACTCGCCGTGTCACGTGACATGTTGCAACGTATCATGACTTTTTTCGCATTGCCAGAGCTGGAGTGGGCGCAGCCTCCACATGATGCAACCGGCCCACAGGCCAGCAGTTTCACACCATTGCTCTGAAGGATTAAGTCTGAAAATAATTGTAGATGTACTTTATACTTTCACTGTTGTATATGAAAGGTAGAGGTATATCTAATAATTTCATCAATATAATGAATGTTGTTATTTTTCTTAGTTTTGCTTTAATTTATTTCATTTTGGTTCAGCCTCAGATTGTCCTTGTTTAAGTCTGCATAGATGCTTGTGCACTGTAGAATGATTTTTTTAAAGCATTGTAATGTAATTATACTGCTTTGAAACCGAACGTTAAGCAAATGCACACTGATATTAACATAATTAAATTCTTTCCAGAGCACGCGTTAAAGTTCTTTGTTGAACTTACATGACAATCTATATAAGCTCATTCCTCTGCTCATTGCTGTTCAAGTGAGTTACTTTGTCATTTCTTAGTGACAGAATCAGATGCTCCAAGAGATACTAAAAAAGATACATTAGACAATAGAAATCTATTCCCTGTCTTTTGTCAGGTTTTTCCCTCCAGTGTATTAGCAAATTCTCTATTTAGTGTAGTTTTAAATGACTCGAGCTTTGGCAAGTTTGCTACTTTGAGGGACTTTCATAAATCTTTTGGTTAGTGTAGTACAATAAAATAGTCAAACACAAAAAATATGTTATAAAAATATTTGTTCTTACAGCCTGAGCAATGTCTATTTATCATACCACTAGGTTGTAGCATAATGAACTTATCCAATAATATGCATCTCAATATTGATTAATGCTTACCATTTGTTTCCTGGTAACCACACAAAGTTGTATTATACAGCTAAATAGTGTTATATCCTAAATTAGCATCTTTTGCTTAAATAATAATTTCCAATATATCTGTTAAATTATCACTGCAATTAGATTGCTAGTACTAAATACATTTGTATGTGCCTGCAAATATGCTTAAAAGAGTAGCAAGCACTTGAAAAGCATTATTTTAATTAAAGTATTATAATAAAAAATACAAATAGAATACAAATAGAAACAAAGCTAATCGGGAAATGGGGGAAGGAAAAAAAGAGGCAGGAGGTACAAGTGCAACTTGTACAAGGCATTGTAAACTTGTACAAGGAGGTACAACTTTACAGTGCCTTGGTAAGGCCACACTTGGAATACTGCATCCAGTTTTGGTCACCACAATGTAAAAAAGATGCTGAGACTCTAGAAAGAGTACAGAGAAGAGCAACAAAGATGATTAGGGGACTGGAGGCCAAAGCATATAAGGAAAGGCTGCTGGAATTGGGTATGTCTAGTTTAACAAAGAGAAGGATGAGGGGGGACATGATAGCAGTCTTCCAGTATCTCAGGGGCTGCCACAAAGAAGAGGGAATCAAGCTATTCTCCAAGGCGCCTGAAGGCAGGACGAGAAGCAACGGATGAAAACTGATCAAGGAGAGAAGCAACTTAGAACTAAGGAGAAACTTCCTGACAGTGAGAACAATTAACCAGTGGAACAACCTGCCTCCAGAAGCGGTGAATGCTCCAACACTGGAAGTTTTTTAAAAAAGACTGGACAGCCATTTGTCTGAAATGGTATAGAGTTCTTACCTGAGCAGGGGGTTGGACTAGATGACCTCCAAGGTCCCTTCCAACTTTATTATTGTTATTATTATTATTATTATTATTATTAAGGTAAGAAGGGAGGGGAGCAATGGTTTGCTTGGATAGCAAAGTCATTTGTCAGTTTTGATTACTCTATGCAGATTTATATCATATCGGACATGTACAAGTAGTCCTTGACTGTAATGAAGCTTGCCCATTATGTCATAAGTCATGTTGGTTGCAAAATGAGTCATCACATGACTGATCCAATTTTACAACCTTTTTTGTGGTGGTCATTAAATAAATCACCATTATCATTAAATGAATCCAGTATTGTTAAGTGAATACCACAGTCATTAAGTGAACGCTTTGTTCACTGTGGAGGATTTTTTTTGCCAAAAATTGGAAGTAAACACTGATTTTTGGTAAAAATATCAATATTATAAGTAGTCCAGAACTAATTGTATGTCCTATATAATATAAATCTACATAGGATAATCAAAACTGACAAATCACTTTGCTACCTGCTTTGCGACCAACATGACTTATGACCATAAATATGATATATATTTATATATTATAAATATCATGGGAACAAGGGATTCTATAAAAAGCTGTAAATGTGAGCTGGTTGCTGAATGGGATACATTCCCACTGACCACAGGGACGGGGCCTGGCCATCATAACTTCATAACCAGGTCATATGTACCATGAGGGGGAAGTGGTTTTGTTGTAACTTCAAATAATTGCTAAGCATCTGGTTGTAAGTTGTGTACTATCTGTAATCCAACAAATCTTGGACTATGTTTACAACTTCCAAGAAATACACTTTGGAGGTTTCATGGTACCTGAACACAGAATAGGAACCATTTTCCTTTTCATATCATGAAAGGAAAACTTATTCATATCTGCAACTTAATGTACTGCACAAAAAAGCACCATTTCAGCATTTCAGCTAAAAATAATAACACTGATAATATGTTCTTCATAATACACCTGAGCATTCCAATATGTATCACAAATTAGGGGGAAAAAACAGCAGAAGCTACATGCCTGGGGAAATCATAGTGTACTTTTTGTTTTTATAATGAATACGACTGGGCTTTGGATAAATCCCATATCTTTCAATTTATTATGCCCCCAAAATGGTGCTGTTCCTCTGAAAACTACTTGTATCTAAGTCCATTACATTAATGAAATTTATTTCTGAGTAAGCACGAATAAGAAGTTTCATTCATATTTTTGTTTCCCTACAATAATTCACATTGTTAAGTCTAAGATTAGGGCAGAGCAACATAAACTGACTTTGAACAGTTCTTTGAAAGCTTTTCTTAATTAGTTCTCTGTACACCATAATTAACCTGTTTTTTATATTTCAAAGAATTTTTTTATTTGCACCATGCCTATACATAATATTTAAGTAGAGTTAGTCAAGTGTGCACAAAACATAAATTAGTCTGCAAAACAATTGACTTCATTCCCCAAATTCAAAAACATAAAGCTAAAATGTACTTTAATATTTCTGCTTTCTGATGTTCTGAATTACTGCACTGTGGTTTTTGAACAGAAGCAGAATATCAGTGTATGACATTTTCCAACAGAATGGATACCCACACAAATTCTTCTAAAAGTGTGTATCCTCCTAAACTATCACAATCCACAGACAGGATATGCACAAAAAGGAATGCAGTCCCAAAGATCAAACTGGCACTCAGAACACATTATGGAAATTCTTTCATTTCACAGCATGTAGAGAAATTCAGCCACAATTAAATCTTGGAAACTGTAGCTTAAATCAGTTCTAAGAAGGAAGGACAATTCTTAGAAGCCTGGCGATCTGACAAATTAGCCATCAGCTGACATACAGAAATTAATTACATTTATAAACCATTCAGGCCAAAGGTCAAAAGAAACAGTCCTGTGCATTTACTTCCGTATCACATGCACATTACCAACCACCCAGATAAGCAAGAACTAGGAGCAAAGTCAGATCAATCAAGAAGAAGCAATATTTCACCACACAAGGCTGGTAGAATAAACAACTAGATATAAATAACCACTGAATTTCACTTTATATCAAAACATTGATGGTGTTAGCTTGCACAGTAATAAAATGACTTTGAGATCAAAACTAAATTCAGAGACCACCAAGACCCTAAGAACATGTTCACCTTTGGAAATTTGTGTAGATTATGTATCCTCTATCCTTTGAGACTGTTTCTGATAAATTTTATAAGATGTCCAAAACGTTTTTGATGTGTCATGGAGAGAAATATCAACAAGCTACTATATGGGAAGACAAATTAATCATTGAACTATAGAAATAATCTCTTCCCTCCTGTCTTTAATTTGCATAAGTGTGTTTTATTCATAGCTGGTTTTCCTGTCTCCTTGCGCATCTTTCTTAATTATTCATAAGTATACATAAGATCATGAGAAAAAGACAAACACACATGCAAGAGAAGAGAAGAAAAAGAAAACAGAAATCAGACACAGATCCCATACAGCAGAAAATTAAAGTGCCTGCAAATATCATTTTATCAATACCATGCTTACATCTTATCTATCTGATTGTGGGACATTTAATATGTTGCTACAAAAATAGTGGCCTCCCAAATGAAGTTACACATGTTCACATGTGTACACTACAGAAAAACTGGGTGATAAATCCAAAGTCATCATTTGCTTTCCTATTATTTTACCAGTGGTAGGACATAGAGGATAAAAGAAGTAGGTTTACCCATTTCATTTCCTTGAATTCTCTGCTTATTTCACATTTCCTATGGCAGATCTTCTCTCTATCTTTCTTCAGATGGAATTCCATTTGTTTGGTGGGTTGGTCGTGCCAACGAAAAACATCCTTACTGGGGAGGATCAATTCCAGGAATCCAACAATGTGCATGTGGTCTAGAAGAAAGCTGTGTGGATCTGAGATATTTTTGTAACTGTGATGCAGACAGAGAAGAATGGTAACTATGAAAATGCATTTTAATTTATGTTATTGTTCGTATGAAAATATGAATGTTAATGAAAAGTAGATTGGTAAATTTTATTATAGGCTTTCACCATTATGTGTGCACATATGCACATATTGTATATACATGAACTTCTACATGCATTATTTAAAAAAACAATTACAGGAAGTTAAAAGAGTCAAAAACAGAAGGAAAGGAGAGAAAGAAGATATTGAAGGTATCAAAGAAAAGTAATTTTATGGACCAATATCTGGTGCTTCACTCTTATGTATCAAGACAAAAATTGGCTATGTTAGGGGTAGTAGTGGTTTTATAATCTGGTAGAAGATAGGAGACATACCAGTGATTTCTCTGGGACTTCCTTTATGAGAGGCTGAATTAGTGTATCACTAATGAAAAGCAATAGGTGAACTAAATTTTCTTATTAAAAAAAGAGAAAAAGTTCAGTGCAGATGTAATGGCATATAATGAAATGGAAATAAAGTTTAATGTTTGTGCATCTTACTTTTCAGTATAAGTTTGACATGCAAACTGGGGAATGTAGAGCTCCAAATCTCACAAAACATATATAATATAAAGGCCTCTTTAAGGCATTCAGTAAGTTTAATGTCTAAATAAATTTTATGGTTGCCTTCACATTGTGTTTCCAATTTGAATACCAAGCCAGGAGAACTTAAAATAGAGAAGTAAGCCATCCTTTAATTTTATGACTCAGGATAATATTCTTGAGAAGTGTGTGATCTCAAGAACAATTTCAAATCTATAAAATTGACTAACATGCTCTTTTAATTTTGTCACACATAAACTAGAATTGCAAAATCAATTAATAATCTTTCAACATCACTCTATATAAATGTACCTTATACCTTTGCAGATTTAAGCTGTTGAAGTTGGAATAAATTGTTCTTCAGTCTAGAATCTAGATTGGCCTTCTGCTTTGAAGATTTTCATATTTAGAAAGATCCTATTGTTCATTATATGATTAATGTACATATCTTCAATAGGTTTCTGGTTCTTGTAATAAAGCAGGTACACAAATTCTATATTAATGATATATACATGCTTAACAAATTTTAATTTTCTAATTAGTGAGATGGAGGCCGAAGAAAACAATAAATTATAGAAACTCTAATTTTTTTGCTCAAAAACTTGCACTTTGGAAAAAAAGAATCCATCTTTTCTTTCTGCACTACACCTGACCTATATTACAGAAAAATTATACCAATGCAGTGTAAATCAGTGGTGAAGTAAGAAAAATGGTTATAGTAGAATTGGAAAATGAACAGAAGACCATAGTTAAAATTATGTGAGCACAGAATGAGTTTTATAGGCTAAAGCAATTTGGCATTTTCAATTTAGAAAGGAAATAGCTCACCCTGGTGTAATAAAATAAAAAGCATGTAGCATTTTGAATATTTTAGAGCAGGAAAAGGAACTTAAAACAGTTAGAAAAATGTATATAGAAAAACTTTTATCTCCTTTGCCTCTATAAAGACTTACTTGCTAGAAAGTTTGAAGATTATGATTGACTATTGAGCATTGATTATTTGATGAACTTGACCCAGAGAAAAATATTTTAGATGGAACATATTGTATAGCAAATAACAGATTATTGACGCACGCCTAGATAATCTCTTAGCTCTGAGTGAGAAAAGCATTGCCGATAATTTTTAAGGAGCAATTTACCAAAATGTATCCATTTTTGTATAATACCCCCCTCCATTTTCAAAGTTTAAAATATTAGAATGTCAAAGAAAGCAAAACTAACACAGCCTTCCATTCATATACAGACAAGAATTTAGTACTAAAAATGTGTTTTAATCTCTTTATTTTGAGCTGTGTTTGTGCTACTGAATGAGATTTGTCATTTTTCCATTGATATGCTTATTTTTCAAAACCAGATAAAAGGCAAGCAGAAAATGGTTGTCTCATTGCTACAAGTACTTTTTAATTGGTTTTCTAGATTCTCCTGCTCAGAAATAGCCATCAACAAAGCCAACAATTTGTTAAAATTAATTACAAATAAAAAATAAATAACATAATACAATAGTTACAGACATAACACTTACTACATTAATGAGTGTGTTGTGCTTATAAATATAATAAAACATTTTTTTTAAAAAAACTAGGTTGGAACCACACAGTTTTGTGCCATTTTTGAAAGCGGAGAGGAAAAAAGAAGCTTTATCTGTTAAGAGACATAGTGATGGTAGCAATAAAGGAGAATATTTGTAGCTCAGGGTTGAAATTAGGGGTTCTTGGTGCTCTCTGAGCTTGCTTGTTTTGTTACCTAATTCTGATAATGAAATGTCTTCAAGAAAGGGTCTATGGCAGTGTTTCTCAACCTTGACAATTTTAAGGCACGTGGACTTCAACTTCCAGAATTCCACAGCCAGCAATGCTGGCTGTGGAATTCTGGGAGTCGAAGTCCACGTGCCTTAAAATTGTCAAGGTTGAGAAACACTGGTCTATGGCAATTTACCATGGCCAACTCACCATGGCCAACTCGCCATAGCCAACTCACTGCAGGACAACTCGTTGCTGGACAAGAGTTACACTAATATCAAAGAAATAGTGGAATAGAATCATTAAAGAAAGGATGCAAAAGGAGAGGCAGAATGAAATGTGAATTGTAAAAATTAAAATATTTTTTAAATTTATTTTAAATAATTAAGTAGAATTGTTAAATTGTCCCGCAACAAGTTGTCCTACAACAAGTTGGCCGTGGCGAGTTGTCTCGCAATGAGTTGGCCGTGGTGAGTTGGCTGTGGAAAGTTTTCCCATTCCATTCAAGAAAACAACTAAGTTCAGGAACACCAAGGATCCCTCAAACAGGATGGGATTGCTGTAGTTGTTCCTGAGCCAACTTGCTGTTCTCTTTTCTTAATAGTCTTCAGTAGTTTTAAATTGGGCTGTTGCCTTCAGTGTAGTGGTAGGATTACTAATTTTAAAGTTGTAGCTCATACTTCTGAACGTTACCAGATTGTGGAAGCATAGCCTATAATTTAATACAATATTTGGCTTTTTCCTATTGCTTAATACAATGCTAGAAAATGTCCTCCTGAAAGTTTTCTTTGCAAGTGGTTTCTGTTCTGGATTTAAAAGTTTTTTTCTGAGTTCTTTTGAAAGTATTGGGATGTTCTACCCTTCCTTTATAGTTGCAAGATGATAGAATACATTGGTGGTGTTCTCCTCATCACACACTCTCTATCACACTGCAGACTTCATAGCTCCTCATGCTTCTGAATAAAAGACCCATAGGATATTTTTATTCAGAAAACAAGAGGCCAAGGATACTGTAGATCAGGGTACCACCTATGGTACATTAGCACCTGGCAGGTGGTATGCGACCATCCCAGAAAAATGGTAGTGGGGGAGGGGAATGAGCTGAACCGGGGGCAGCACCACACAAGCCTGAGCGAGAGATGGCTGGAACTGCAGAGCTGTCAGGGCTCAGCGGAAGCGCCAGGATCAGTGCTTCTTCGGGGCTGTCAGGGCTCAGTGGAAGCCCCAGGATCAGTGCCGGGTTCCAACTGGAGCTCAGCACTGATCCTGGCGCTTCTGCTGAGACCTGAAGAAGCACCAATCAACTGGAAAGCAGCACTGATCCTGGCGTTTCTGCTGAGCCGAGGAGAAGCCCCGATCAGCTGGAATGTTGCAGCATCTCCAGGGTCTTGTGATTTACATTCAGATGCTTGGCAACTGATTAATATTTATGACCGTCACAGTGTCCCAGGGTCATGTGAAGTGACCAAAATCTGCTGCAACCACCCAGCAGACAGGGGGAATAAAAACCAAACACCCCCCCACCCCACCCCCGCTGCCAATCCTCAACAGAAATGCTCACAACAATGAAAACCTCGGACAGGAGAAAGAGTGTGGCCGGACAGGCAGGCAGGTGTCTTGCTCGGCTGTGGCTTGGGGTGCACTTTTTTCAGTGCCATTGTAACTTTGAACGGTCACTAAGCGAACTGTTGTAAGTTGAGGACTACCTGTACTTCATCACTTTTTCCCTTTTATGGGGGGGGGTCATCAAGTTTTTGACCCCTTGCTAGGTGATTGGTGGTACTTGGATGTTGCCATGGTGGTACAATGGGTGAAAAGGTTGAAAAGCCCTGCTGTAGATCATTAGAGAGAGAAATGTACAGAACAGCAGGATACTCATATAAACACACTTGGCATCTCATACTTTAGATCAGTGATGGCGAACCTTTTAGAGACCGAGTGCCCAAACTGCAACCCAAAACCCACTTATGCATTGTCAGGTGCTGGGTGGGTGTGGCCCATTGGGTGGGTGTGGCTGTGGTGGTAACAGCAGACTGGGTAGGACTAAAAAGTTCAATCAATCAATTCCAACTTTGCAAGATCTCTTTTTTCCCGCAAGAAGTTGAAATTGACTGATTGATTGAACCTTTTTTTTGTACACGCCGGCAGAGGCCTAAAGCGAAAAGGTTTTATAAAACCTAGCTGAAGGCCTAGGACTGGGCCAATGACGCACATACCCACAGAGAGGGCTCTGAGTACTGCCTCTGGCACTCATGCCATAGGTTTGCCATCACTGGTTTAGATAATGTTAAGAAGATCCCTGCATTGCTGTCATATGAGAATTCTAGAGAAATGTACTCTTCAATTGATAGAAAATATATTCCTTTTCTATAAAAGTGGGGAAAATGGCCCAAGGAATGGACTCAATACCAGGTAAAGTGTTAGTACCACTTTATAATGCCTTGGTAAGACCACACATGGAATATTGCATCCAGTTTTGGTTGCCAAGATAAAAAAAAGATGTTGAGACTCTAGAAAGAGTGCAGAGAAAGGCAACAAAGATGATTAGAGGACTGGAGGTTAAAACATATAAAGAACGGCTACTGGAATTGGGTATGTCTAGTTTAATGAAAAGAAAGACTAGGGGTGACACGATAGTAGTGCTCCAATATCTAACGGGCTGCCACAAAGAAGAGGGGGTCCTATTCTCCAAGGCACCTACAGAACAAGAAGCAATGTATGGAAACTAATCAAGAAGAGAACCAATCTAAAACTAAGGGGGAAAGTCCTGACAGTTAGAACCAGGGCTTTTTTTGTCATAGAACGCCCAGAACGGAGTTCTGGCACCTTTTTTGGATGGAACCTTGTAGGGTAGGCAAGGCGGGTTGTATGACATATGTGAGTTCCGGCACTTTTTTTTTTTTTTTTTACAAAAAAGCACTGGTTAGAACAATTAATCAGTGGAACAACAGATGCTAGAATAATTATTGAGTTGGTTTGACTTATTTAGGCAAAGTCTAATGTTTTTATCTTCCAGAGTCTCTTTGTTGTGTAATTAGCTGCAGTACTTTACTTTTAATGCTGCTTTAACTTTTTAAAACTTGCATAGCAACATGGAAAATTTAAACGTTTTTAATCTGCATTCCACTACTTGTAAACTTTCAAAATTTTTGAAAATATTTTCTTTGGCTTGTTTCCAAGTTGCATAGCACCAGACATATGCTGATAGTACATTTCTCATAATATACTGTATCACAAATTTCATTTAATGCTGTTGTGGTTACCTATTCAAGTGAGGTTTCATTAACTTAAAACTAGGCAATATACCCAAAGGATTTTATAAGAGAGGAAATTAAATTGAATAACACTACTGTCCTGCCAACTATTATACTGTAAGTGATGGGGGACCTTGTGAATATTCCAATTTATAGTACTGCAAAGCAGCATCTTGAAATACAAGAGAATGAGGATTTGTTTTTTCAATATGACTGATACATTACTATAAATATTAAAAACTGCTACGAACTTGTAACTTACATGTTCTTTCTGAACTGTTGGGGCACATTTGAAACATAATTAATATGTAAGAAAGTTAATTTGTTTCCATATTGTTCACATCTTATGGGTATGGATTAACGACATAAAAATACAGGATCAGCTACCTAGCTAATTGCAATACTGCCTGGTTCTGATTAATTGTTAGATGACAATTATCTGGAATTTTGTCATGAAAATATTGTTTATATAAAGTATCAATATTCTTAAATAAATAAAATTAAATAATATTATTCTGAAAACTTTATTAGGCATTGTGGACCTTAACACAATTTCTTGAAGGTCTGCATTCTAAATGTGCTTGCTTTATTCTATTTTTGCCTCTTTCTAACTCATATGCAAATGTCTTGTGCAATAGAATGCCTTTTTTCCCCTGAATTTACAGATGCATGAAAAAATTGTTTTTTTATTAGATCAAAATTTGACTTTGTCCTTCTGAGCCTTTAGCAGGGTTTTACGCAGAATTTTAAAATTCACAAATTCAGATCTGAACTTCATATAATAGATGGGTTGAGTTTTTGCTTGCCTTAAGAAGTATAAAGTCTTTTAAAGTACCTTTCCTCATAAATAATTATTTGTTCCTTACTTTTTATATTGTCTTCCTCCCATATTAATGTAAGACTGGAAAAAAGGATTGCTTTGGCTATTTGGTCTATGTTATGGCATTTATTTTTATGATTAATTTTATGATTACTGATCAATAATCCAGATGGATCATAAATCTGTAATTTGCCCAGTTTTTGTGCATGACACCATTTTTAAATTATTATATTAGATGGACAGTTAGTCCTCCACCAAAATGCCAGCCATATAAAAGTGTAGTAAGATTTGGAAAGAAAATCTATTACCACTTGCCTTAGAAAGATTTGATAGTCAGTGTTACATTGTTTTATGCTATTTTTAAATAAAATAAAATAAAATAGTTCAGCACTCCCATTGTTGCTGCTCTGGAATAAACAATCCATGACCTTGAATTATCTATCCAGCATACAGTTAATTTGGATATTTCTAGTAGCAAACATATTTTTTTCTGAATTAGATTTATTGTTCAATTTTCACAGGAAGTCTCAAATCAGTTTGCAGTAAGAGCACAATAACACCCAGAATTTTTTTTTTTTTAACACAAAATTTCTCTAATGGCAGTGGGCCACTTTCTCAAGGAATGCTTGGCAGTGTTATTGATTTTTAAAAATGCCCAAGCAAACAGATATATCGTTCTTGTCAGTATAAACATTAATATATTGAGTGCCAGAGCACAGAATATCCCCCGTGTTTATTTTCTATTTTCTTGCCATTTGTTATATGCACATATAATGCCATATTATCTCTATGTTTCATTGACATTTGCATTGTCATTGAACAAGGAAAAAGAAGAAGAAAAAATTCAAACCATTATTTCCAAAACCTAAAAAGTTTTTTGAAGATCGCTTTAATGGATTCCACAGAAATCTCCTGTATCAGCAGTCTTCAAAACTGAATTAATCTTTTTGGCTACCCTTGAAAACCATTGAAAACTTTCAGCTGGTACAGCATGTTAAAAGCTGGGTTGTGACGTTACGTTAATTTCAGCATGTCTTTTATTCCTCCAGATATAATGCATAGCTCAAGATGTTGTAACCATATAATGCAGCATGGCTGATGCCAGATATTTTACAGATCAGTTCTGAGGAATTCCTAGCAACAATTAATATAATTGTTGTGTTCAGATATACCCTTAAGTAGACCAGTCAAAGACCAATATAAGCATTCATACCTTTCCTTCCCCTTCCCCTTCCCTTTCCCTTTCCCTTTTTGTTCCTTTCCTTTCCCTTCCATTCTTTTTTCTTTCCCTTTTCTTATTGGTTCAATATAGTACACAAACATTTGTGTCAATGAGCTTTGAAAATCTAGAAAATGATTTTATTTAGTAACCAAGTAAAGGAAGTTATACAAACCCCCAGCTTCTGCTAAGGTGGATGAATCTTGCCCTGTCAATGGCTACTTGCTTCTATCTGTGTCCACACAACAATCTTGCTATTATAACCGATAACTCAAGTGTTGCTTATCTCTTAATGGAAATCATTGCTTATGAAAATGTCACCTGGCCTTCCTTGTCCTTACAAAGTGCCTGTTAGTATTTCCACACAAGTTCTTTTGAGTACTTTGATAGAGGATTTCTAATTATGGGATGCACTCAGTAAAGCACGGGTGTCAAATGCTATTGGGTCACGTGACATATCACAATGTTTTTTGCCTTTGCAGAGCCGGGGTGGGTGTAGTCTACATGTGATGCAGCTGACCTCTGGGTTGCCAGTTTGTCACTCCTGCAGTAAAGAGACCTGTCAGGCATCAGGCTAGCAATCTGACACTAGATTAAAACAATTTTGATTAGGCATTTGAACTAGTGTATATATTTTTTAAGAGTGAAGGGTTTTAGATGTTATTTCATTGCATTTGAATTATGACTGAATATATTTTACTGCAATATGGCAGTTTAAAGGGAGGGGAGAAACAGACTAAAACATGGTATAAAATGTGTTAAATAGGAAGACAATAGAAAGATTCCTGTTATCAAAATAGACTTTAAGCACCATTTCTGGATCCAAATATGCATCTCTCTCTCTCTCTCCCTCTCTATTTATACCATATGTATAGGTATGTGTATGTTTGTAATTTCTCACACAAAGCTATTTAGGATTTCAATCCTGATATACATTTTACACATTTATCTATTTGTAGGACCAATGACACCGGTTTCCTTTCCTTTAAAGAACATTTACCTGTGAACCAGATAGTCATCACTGATACAAACAGACCTAATTCTGAAGCTGCCTGGAGAATTGGTCCTCTTCGTTGCTATGGAGATAGTGGGTATCAGCTCTTTTCAGCATCCTTATGCACAAGCTATATAAGAAGCTGGTGTGTGTGTGTGTGTGTGCGCGCGCGTGTGTGCGCGTGTGTGCATGTGTGAGGGATAGAATTCTGTTTGTATTACTGATAACAGATACCTTCTAATAATTGCATTGTCTGATTGTTTCCTGAAATGAATTGTGCAGTTTCTAAAGAAGCATATTTTTCTAAATAATTTGCAATAAGGCTTTGAGTGCTACAGGTTCAAATTAAGGGCTTGTTCAGACTTCTGTCTCCACAACAGGGGAATAAAGATACATATGAGTAATGAACAAGCATGAGTTGAATACAACAGGACTTTCTCATTCATATTCTTCAGCAACTAATTAATACTGAGAACCTGTTCTCTTCATTAATTACAAGTAATATCCAACCATCTTGCCCATTAGTAGTTGAAATTATTATCAGCTATAAAATTTTATGATTCTCTTTTAAAGCTGCTGGTGGTGGTTAAAGTTGGTGGTTACTATTTTCTCCTGTACAAAATTGCCCATGTTGTACGGTGTGAAGGACTTTCTTTCACATTTCCTTATTTCCTTGATTCTCCTAACAATTCAGTTCATTGTATGAAAATGTTTATAAGAAGAGAAAAAGTTCTGGCTTTGCCTTCACCCATTAGTATATGTAATTATATCCTTCTGTCTGCTTTCCATTAGTTCTGCTTTCATCAAATTAAAAAGTACCCCATCAACTTTTTCAAAATCCTTTCTGAATGATGCTCAGTATGAGATTTGCCTTTTTCACAGCTGTTATACATTTCCTGGGTTCAGAGAAAATACTAAACTTTATGATTAGCGAAATGCAATAACCATGTTCACACAACATGAACTGCCCTAAGCATTTATAGCTTAACGTGATGATTTGATTCACATAATAAAATAAGACAGTGCTTAGATTTCTACAACTCACGGGACAAAAAAAACTACCGTTCCCTATTCTTCAGTAAAACTGTGTTTTGTGCAAATCTAGCCATTGGTCAATTAACCCAACACATCCTATGATAAATATGAGAATTAATATATGTAAAGCTATTTTTCTTAGCTCAGTGCATTTCTCTGTGAAATTGTTTAAATGTATTTTCTATATTAATTCCTATTTCTTATGTGAAAAGTGTATTTGCTTTTTTTGTTTTAATCACCCAAAATAATGTGAAGTTATAACAAACTTAAACTTCTCTGACCTTTTTTTTTAGCACTTCAGGTCTTTAAAAATAATTTGATCCAATTAAGATCTATGGAAGATGTTTCTTTTTTTGCCTCACTCAGTTGGAAGAACTCTGGTTTATTTTTTCTTTATCACATCCCTGAAGTGCTCAGTTCTCTTGGTCAGCAACCTAGTACTCTATAAAGTCATTAAGTTATCTACTCTAGACTCAACAAACATTTTCTCCAAGGGAACACATATTTATTGTACATTTATATACTTTATATCAGCAAGATAGATGTATCTGGAAAGCTTCATAAGCTTCACTGGTTTTTCACCACAGTTTTTATTTTTCTTTATTTTAACATAGAATTTGAATGATTTTGTGTCAAATGTGAGAGAGGGTTATACTGTCCTAACTCATCTGTCTTTTGCAAAACTTCCATGGGTGCTTAACAAACTCTGTTTTTAACTTCTTGATCCCTTGAAAGATTATCACTGGAGTTGAAGTGCTACTACTTCAGCTATGTGTATATGTGTGTGTTTAGAAAAATGTTTCCCCATTATCAGCTGAGCAGTGCACAAAAGGGGCTGTTTGTGGTCACACTAGTGAGTGTAGTCTACAATGTGTGAACTCTCAGTGATGGCATCCTAATTATGACATTCTAGTCTAGTAAGCCATGGCTGGCCATTATGCTGCCGGGTTTTTGAAAGTAGCACAAGATACACTTCTTTCAAATATTTATAAATTAAACTTTGAACCTGGCACAGGATGACTCTAAAGAGAAGTATTTTTGTCTGTTTCATAGAAGTGATTTGGATCCTATTCATCTAAAACTCTATATTTTCATTAGTGCTTTACTATTTATTGTTTGCATGATTTTATTCATTAATTTGGACGCATTGTCATCATAAGTAATAGAATGAATGAATGAATGAATGAATGAATGAATGAATCCTGTAGCTACAGTGCAGAAATATATTTTTGTTCCTAGTTTTCATTTTTCTGTATTAATGAACTCTGGCTAAAGGCTACAATATATCTTTGCTTCTTCATTTACCTCCCTCATATAATTAATTATAGAGAAGTTTATTGTACTTTGCAGGACAGTTCTGGAATGCAGCTTCTTTCAGTACCGAAGCTTCGTACCTTCTCTTCCCCACTTTCCATGCCGAGTTCACTGCAGACATTTCTTTCTTCTTCAAAACAACCAGGATGTCTGGAGTCTTTTTGGAAAATTTGGGAATGAAAGATTTCATCAGGGTTGAAATAAGTTGTAAGTTTATCAACTGAAATTGTAGTATATTATTTTCCTTCAGATCTGATTAAGTCACAAAATGTCTATGGAGAAACTCATTCATCCAGGTCATGGTTATCCCAAAGATGCTTTTCCAAAAGGCAACTGGATTTTCTTGGTTTCTTCCTTGAAAATGTTTTGCTTCTCATTCAAGAAGCAAAACTCTTTCAATGGAAAAAAAAAGCCAGTTACCTTTTGGAAATGCACCTTTTGAATTAAATCATGTATCTTCTTGGGTGCTTAATATTTGTGAAGTTTGTGTCTATGTTTTAAGTCTTAAAAGTGAGGATAAAATGCCAAATGTTGAGAGGTTAGGACCCTTTAATATATTCAGTGTTCAGTGCCTTGAAACATTACCCCAAACTCACTACCATTCATGTGTGTGTGTGTGTGTGCATGCGCACATACATACATAACAGACACATTCTTCTTCAAAGAGTTATATTCAAATGAAGATAACATTATTAAGCTCAGTATTGACTCTGCTGGGTAGCTGTCTCTTATCTGAAGCAGCACACAAAATTGCTACTTTTCACATATAGTATATGAGTTATCAGCAGATTGCCTCTCCTTCTCTTCTTAGGTGATGATAAATAGTATTTATGCAATAATCTTTTAGAAAGCAGCTGGCATACCAATGAGGAAAGGGGAAAGTTCCAGAATGCTCAGCATGTCATAATGGCCTGTCAAGCAAGCTACCTTTCTTTGAAACTAAATTGCAATTGCTTCACAAAGTTAAAGCAGGGATTCTGAACTCCCACAGGCCGTAGCCTGTTTGGAACCAGGCTGTGCAAGTGGTAGGCAGCACAGCTTGCACACACAACTCTATTTGCGTAGCTCCACTTGTGTGAGCAGTGGACACAAATAATGCTGCACACATGAGCACACATGCCTGCTGTTTGCACAGAACCATCCCCTCTCCCCCCTCCTAGTGCTGCCATCACTGCCTATCCACAAAGCCAGAAAGATTGGAGACCGCTGTGTTAAAGAAAAAACTAATTTAAATCATCTTTTTGTCTATTGCTTCAGTCTATTAATGGAGGGTGTTGTGTTGTGGATTTAGAATGAAAGAAGGCCTTTCTGTTCCATGTTCCATCAGACTGAACAAACCTAGAATGAACTATCATCATTGAGTAATATGGTTATAATAACTTCAACATAAAATTTAATAAAATAAGGCCCCCAAGGCCCTTTGATTCATTAAACCTTTGGTAAAAGCAGGAGCACATTATCACTAGGTAATGAGGTATGGTTTAGTGTTAATTGCATATAATCTTCTATTTGGGTGATACTTCAGTGTGTTGTATTTCATTCTCAAGGCTCTTATGTTTTATTAAAGTATACAATAATGCAAGACATTGACATAAAATTATATCAGAATAATGCACTCTGTCAAGATGACGGGTTAGCATGTGCACTGTGGAAATGAAAGAAATGTCTGATGCAACATTTAGTCACTTTTTCCGCTGTGTTATGATTTTCTCATAGGTCAAATTATGTTTTCAGCTAAATGACTGTGAATACAGTCCACAAATCAGTTGAAGCTGATGCTGGAACAGAGTCTAACTGTAAAGAGATCAATATCATTGATTGCCTTCCATGAATAGAAGAGAGTTCCCAACCCCCTATGCCTAAGAAAATTCATCCCTGTGCATTGAAAGATTTTTTGTGAGCTATGTATGTATGTATACCAATGGAGTACAAATTTATCAGAAATCCATCTTCTCCCTTACATAGCTAGAGATGCAAATTAGGGTCCAAATGAATGATTATAGCCAAACTTTAGCCTTATTTTGTTAGTGTAATGAACCCCTGATGAAAGTGATATTGCTTCCATGACTTAAACCTTTAAGAAACTGGAAAAGATTGATCAATCAGAGTTACAACTCCTGTCCAAATGTATTTTTCAGTGTATATACATTGTTATTATTGATCTAGTGTTGCCAATGTACCAGATGCCAGCTTCTGCTTTTGTCCTCTTGGAGAAGAACCTCTCTTAATCTTGGAATTGATTTTGCCCTAAATGTCATACTGCCAAGTCTTCTGTCTCACTTAGATTTCCAACCCACAACCTTGCTTTGTATGCCCCAACTAATCCCCAGAAAAGATGTGGTTGATTACAAGGGATGAAGATAAAATAAGAACTCAGTACAAATCTCCTTTTAATAAACTATCTAAAATGTAAGAGAAATGGCACAACATGATTAGTTCTTGAATTATATAATTATTTCTTATAATATGAAAATAAAAAAGACAATTCTCTGACCTATTTGTTTTTTCCTATTTATTTGGTTCTAAAGGCCAGTGTCTGTAACCTCCAGTTTTTGAAAGACTGAACTGCAAGTCCCAATATATCAGAATAACTAGCAGAATAACTTTATGACATTCACACTTAAATAAGCATCAAAGTTTGACTCTACTTTCCTTTAAATCATTAGGAATAAACACTTGCTCTCAGGTGTTTATGACTTTCAGCAGAATAAAAAGTGATATTTTAAGGGAGGAAAATTTAAAGAACAGTTTTAACAGCATGCATCATTAATTTTAATAACACAGTTTTAGTGTTTGAAACATGTTTAATATTGTCTATAACATATCAACAAGTTGTACATCTGAATATAGCAAATGTAAATGTTCAATTACCAAAAATCAGGCCTGAGAATTGTCATATGAAAAACACTTTGGTATAGTTTTTTTTTTAAAAAAAATATATCTCCTTTCTCCTAATATGATCTAGATCAGTGATGGCGAACCTTTTAGAGACCGAGTGCCCAAACTGCAACCCAAAACTCACTTATGTATCGTCGGGCATGGCCAACTGGGTGGGTATGGCCAACTGGGTGGGCGTGGCTACGGTGGTAACAGCAGACTGGGTGGAGATTGATTGATTGAACCTTTTTTTTTGCACACAGCAATGGAGGTCTAAAGCGAAAAGGTTTTATAAAACCCAGCTGAAGGCCTACAACTGGGGTGATGGCGCACATGCCCACAGAGAGGGCTCTGCGTGCCACCTGTGGCACGCATGCCATAGGTTCACCACCATGGATCTAGATATTTCCATCAGTGTTCTTTTATTGAAATCATTTTTGTGTCTTCCATTTTCTCCTGTGTATTTTCTACACATTTTACAGGCTATTTCAGTGATAATCAGTTTAAATTTTTTAAAGCAAATATTAAGTAAACAGCACAATATTTTTGGAAATGTTCTATCTCACTGATCTATTGCAAGGCAAATACATACCTTTTGTTTCATGACACTTATACCTTCTGTTTCATGAGCTTAGCAGCCTAATATGTGAACATAGAGAAAATGAGAATATCCAACCAGGGATTTGATTTCACAAAGAAGATTTGGGTCTGTAGATATGTACCATAATATATAGTTGATTCATTGTGTGAATTCAATAATCACAGAAGGTTGATTGTTCTTAAATGTTACCAGTGGTGGGATTCAGCCAGTTTGCACCACTTTGGCAGAACCAGTAGCTAATTTTTTATTGCCCAGGTCCAGAATGGACTTCTGGAAGCAGCATCCACACAGAGAACCAGTTGTTCACATATTTGAATCCCACCACTGAATGTTACTACTATAGTTATGTACTTCTTGTTGTTATCAGCATGACATACTGAGTTTCATCTTATGCATTCCAGCTCCGAAAGACATCACCTTCACAGTTGATGTTGGAAATGGCCCTGTAGAGATTACTGTCCAATCCCCCATGCCCCTGAATGACAACCAGTGGCATTCTGTGCACGCTGAAAGGAATCTTAGAGAAACTTCTCTTCAGGTAGACAACTTTCTGAAGAAGACTTTAGAAGCACCTGCTGAAGGACATTTTCGATTGCAGCTAAACGGTCAATTATTTGTAGGTAGGTACAATCATTGGTACTATGCCAACGTTTTAATTTTTTTTTTACAAATGCTATTCTCTTAGAATAAATGAATATTCTTTTTAATTATTGGATATTAGATATTCCTCAATAAATTTCTATGCAAAGTTTAGAAATTTCTACTATTTGAAGATAAATTTAGCAACTTGTTTTTTTAAAAAAATTTGTACACTGATATAAATTGTCCCACCAACAAATAACAGAACTAAAAACTAAGCAATAGGGAAAAAACTCTGAAGAATTCAGAGAAAAAAAATGATAACAGAGATTACTCCATTTTCAGACATGCATATAAATTACTATAGGTCACTACCCAAATAATAGAGCTTCTGTCTCTTTAGGTTACCATAGTATTTTGTCTCATTGTGTGAAAGAATAGGAAATGTATTGTTCGTATACCAAAAGATACAATTTGAAGATAAGTAATGCATTCCTTATGATTGTTGTTAATTGCGAAGTCGTGTCCGACCCATCGCAACCCCATGGACAACGTTTCTCCAGGTCTTCCTGTCCTCTACCATCTTCTGGAGTCCACTTAAGTTCACACCTACTGCTTCAGTGACTCCATCCAGCCATCTCATTTTCTGTCGCCCCCTTCTTCTATTGCCCTCAATCTTTCCCAGCATTAGGCCCTTCTCCAGTGAGTCCTTCCTTCTCATTAGGTGGCCAAAGTATTTGAGTTTCAACTTCAGGATCTGGCCTTCTAAAGAGCAGTCAGGGTTGATCTCTTCTAGGACTGACCTGTTTGAACGCCTTGCAGTCCAAGGGACTCGCAGGAGTCTTCTCCAGCACCATAGTTCAAAGGCCTCAATTCTTTGGCGCTCAGCCTTTCTTATGGTCCAACTTTCACAGCCATACATTGCAACTGGGAAAACCATGGCCTGGACTATACGCACTTTTGTTGGCAGGGTGATGTCTCTGCTTTTTAGTATGCTGTCTAGATTTGCCATAGCTTTCCTCCCCAGGAGCAAGCGTCTTTTAATTTCTTGGCTGCAGTCCCCATCTGAGGTGATCTTGGAGCACAGAAAAATAAAATCTGTCACTACCTCCATTTCTTCCCCATCTATTTGCCAGGAATTGAGAGGGCCGGATGCCATGATTTTGGTTTTCTTAATGTTGAGTTTCAAGCCAACTTTTGCACTCTCCTTCTTCACCCGCATCAAGAGGCTCTTTAGTTCCTCTTCACTTTCTGCCATTAGAGTGGTATCATCTGCATATCTTAGGTTGTTGATATTTCTCCCGGCAATCTTAATTCCAACTTTTGATTCATCTAGCCCTGCCTTTCTCATGATGTGCTCTGCATATAAGTTAAATAGGCAGGGCGACAGTATACAGCCTTGCCGGACTCCTTTTCCAATTTTGAACCAATCAGTGGTTCCGTGTTCGGTTCTCACTGTTGCTTCTTGACCCGCATATAGGTTTCTCAAGAGACAAATGAGATGGTCTAGTACTCCCATCTCTTTAAGAACTTGCCACAATTTGTTGTGATCCACACAATCAAAGGCTTTTGCATAGTCAATGAAGCAGAAGTAGATGTTTTTCTGGAACTCCCTAGCTTTCTCCATGATCCAGCGTATGTTGGCAATTTGATCTCTAGTTCCTCTGCCTCTTCGAAATCCTGCCTGTACTTCTGGTAGTTCTCGATCCACATACTGCTGGAGTCTAGCTTGTAGGATTTTAAGCATAACTTTACTAGCATGTGAAATGAGTGCAATGGTGCGATAGTTTGAACATTCTTTGGCATTGCCTTTCTTTGGAATTGGAATGTAAACTGACCTTTTCCAATCCTGTGGCCACTGTTGAGTTTTCCAAATTTGCTGGCAAATTGAGTGTAGCACTTTTACTGCATCGTCTTTTAAGATTTTGAATAGCTCAGCTGGAATACTATCACCTCCACTAGCTTTGTTGTTGCTCAGATTTTCTAAGGCCCATTTCACTTCACATTCTAGGATGTCTGGTTCGAGGTCAGTGACCATCTCGTTGTGGTTATCTGGGATGTTAAGCTCATTCTTGTATAATTCTTCTGTGTAATTTTGCCATCTCTTCTTAATCTCTTCTGCCTCTGTTAGGTCTCTGCCATTTTGGTCCTTTATCATGCCCATCTTTGCATGAAACGTTCCCTTCATATCTCCAATTTTCTTGAAGAGATCTCTGGTCCTCCCTATTCTGTTGTTTTGTTCTATTTCTTTGCACTGTTCATTTAAGAAGGCATTCTTATCTCTTCTAGCTACTCTCTGGAATTCTGCATTCAATTGGGTGTATCTTTCTCTTTCTCCTTTGCCTTTCGCTTCCCTTCTTTCCTCAGCTATTTGCAAAGCTTCCTCAGACAGCCATTTTGCTTTCTTGCATTTCTTTTTCTTTGGGATGGTTTTAGTTGCTACCTCTTGTACAATGTTGCGAACTTCCATCCATAGTTCTTCAGGCACTCTGTCTATCAGATCTAATTCCTTAAATCTATTTGTCACCTCTACTGTATATTCATCAGGAATATGATTTAGTTCATACCTGAGTGGCCTAGTGCTTTTCCCTACTTTTTTCAATTTAAGCCTAAATTTTGCAACGAGAAGCTCATGATCTGAGCCACAGTCAGCTCCTGGTCTTGTTTTTACTGACTGCATAGAGCTTCTCCATCTTTGACTGCAGAGTACATAGTCAATCTGATTTCTGTGTTGACCGTCTGGTGATGTCCATGTGTAGAGCTGTCTCTTGGGTTGTTGGAAAAGAGTGTTTGTTATGACCATCATATTCTCTTGACAAAATTCTATTAGCCTGTGCCCTGCTTCATTTTGTACTCCAAGGCCAAACTTGCCTGTTATTCCGGTTATCTTTTGGCTTCCTACCTTAGCATTCCAATCCCCCATGATGATAAGGACATCATTTTTTGGTGTTGATTCTATAAGGTGCTGTAGGGCTTCATAGAACCGGTCAATTTCATCCTCTTCAACACCAGTGGTTGGGGCATAGATTTGGACTATTGTGATATTGAATGGTTTGCCTTGGATTCGAATTGAGATCATTCTGTCATTTTGGGGATTGTATCCCAGTATTGCTTTTCCTATTCTTTTATTGACTATGAAGGCTACTCCATTTCTTCTGAGGGATTCTTGCCCACAGTAGTATACCTGATGGTCATCTGAGTTAAATTCACCCATTCCTGTCCATTTTAGTTCGCTGATTCCTAAGATGTCGATGTTCAGTCTTGTCATCTCTTTTTTGACTACGTCTAGCTTGCCTTGATTCATGGATCTTACATTCCAGGTTCCTATGGAGAAAAAGATCTTTACAGCATCGGACTTTCCTTTCACCACCAGATATATCCACAGCTGAGCGTCCTTTCGGCTTTGGCCCAGTCGCTTCATTCTTTCTGGCGCTACTAGTACTAGCCCTCTGCTCTTCCCCAGTAGCATATTGGACATCTTCCGACCTGAGGGACTCATCTTCCAGCGTCATATCTTTTTGCCTTTTAGTACTGTCCATGCGGTTTTCATGGCAAAGATACTGGAATGGTTTGCCATTTCCTTCTCCAGTGGATCACATTTTATCAGAACTCTCTGCTATAACCTGTCCGTCTTGGGTGGCCCTGCACGGCATAGCTTATAGCTTCATTGAGTTACACAAGCCCCTTCGCCATGACAAGGCAGTAATCCATAAAGGGGATTCCTTATGATACAGAGTCCCAAAGGGCATTTAGTCACCATTTTTGCATACTCTTGAGAATATTCAACAGGTGTTTATTGCAATTTCCAAAATTTGTCACTATAGAATAAAATAAAATTGAAATGCAAGTCTTTGTGAGATGATTTTCACTCTCTTATGTTTTAAGAATAAAAATCATACACTCTCAGAGTTATTTCTCATGCCCGACTTCTTTGGTTTTGTTTTGAGCTCCAACTATTGCAACATATGGTTTCAATATTCTACACCCAATATTCTAGAAGTATGTATTTTTCTAGTTGCAAAATTATCAAATGAAAGTGAAGCCAACAGAAATGATAGAACTGGAGACTTAATTGATGGTAATCCCATGATTTACAAATATGTAAGTCTAAGTACCAATCTCCAAAGCCCATGCCTATATTATATTTTACTATGTTTATTTCAATTGTTTCCTTCACTTATACCATCATTGCATATTAGACTCTCTCTAGATTGAAGAAAGGATATCCTGTGTGATAAATGAGGTCATGATTGCATGTTCAATTCACAATATTGGAAATGGCAGAGGGAATAGCAAACACCCACCTCTTCCCTTTGTGCATTTTGCGCCTTTCCTCTCAATCCTGCTCAGTTTTATTTTAATTGAATTTTTAAATATAAGATCTTTGTTTATTGTTTTAATTGTTTTATTTGGCATTTTATTCAATGTCTGTAAGCCAGCTAGAGTTGTCTTTATGAAATGGTAGCATACAAGTTTGAGAAATAAATAAATATCCCCTCGTACGTTAATATGGAATCAATGGGAATATTAACGTAACAATATTGTACAATAAAACTTTAATAAGAATTTCATTTGTTAAAGAACCAGTTTTTTTAAATATGAACTTTACCTTACTTATACCTGAAACAGGGGCATCTGCATCCAAACAGAAAGGTTTTATGGGATGTATTCGTTCTCTTCATGTAAATGGACAGAAACTTGACCTTGAAGAGCGAGCCAAAGTGACTCCTGGCGTCAAACCAGGATGCTCAGGTCATTGCAGCAGTTATGGTAATCTTTGCCAGAATGGAGGGAAATGTGTGGAAAAGCCCAGTGGCTACTTGTGTGACTGCACCAATTCACCGTATGAAGGACCATTCTGCAGAGAAGGTAAGATGGCCGAATGGATTCTTACATATATTTTTTTTTGCTCATCCAGCACACCTTGACCAACCTGTGTTATACAAAATGCAAAATATCACTTTCTAATTTATATTATCTAGATCAATGGTTCTCAACCTATGGTTTGCGGACCCCTGGCAGGTCAAGATGTCATCACAGGTGTCCACAAATGCTTGAAGAAAGGTTATTATTTGAATCTTGAATTAATACTTGGGGATCCATAAAAATTATGATGAAGAGAAAGTTGAGAACCACTGATCTAAATTCTCGGCAAAATTGCATAATTTAATAAAACATTTGGGTGAGGAGGAGTGCCAGCTTTTTTCTCTATTTCCCCATTTTCATTAGGAATTTGGGGATTCTGTTTTATTTTTCATCTGGCAGATTGGCTGGCTGACTGGGTTGTTGAGGTATTCAAAAGTGTAGCTCTGTGCCAGAAGATGTTGAGGTTGCAACCATCAGTTGAAGCAATTATAGGGTCTCACGCCAGTAAGGACACCAGATCAACAATTTTCTTCCCATTGCCAATTTGGTGCCTGACTGGTCTTATACTGCTTTTCATGTACAGAGGAAACTTTTTCAGTATCAATGATGCAAATGTTCAGTTTGGTGTCAGATCGAGGGCTTCTTTAACTAATGTATCATTGGTGCACTCTCTCACTATCTTTGTTCAAAAATCCACTAGATTCTACCCAGAGGTCCCATAACAACAATGTATCTGATTTCAGAGATGCACATGTGGAGATTAGTAATCTAGATATACAGAAATAATTTGAAACCTGGAATGAAGTAATGTCTTCCAGAATATGAAGCTATCTTAATTGTTGAGACTTTTCTCATTTGAAAAACTTAAAGAACAAACAAGCAAAAAAAAAGTAGTGGAAGAATCCCTTGATGATTTATATTTTTACATGTCCTGTGGAGCTGACTTTTCGTGACTTGGGAATTAATTATTTTTGGAGAACTTATTGTTGTAATTATATGTTCATGCACTAAAATTATCATCTGAGGGAAAAATGGAACATGGTGTTCATAAAATGAAGATAATGTTTGTTTGTCAGAACTTTATAGATATTACTTTCTTATAGAGTACGAGAAAAGAACTTGGGCTTTAGATGGCATTTTAGGTGGGAGGAAAAACCCTAATGATTCTCCATAAACGATCCTCTCTTTTTTTAAAAGATTATAGCCAAGATCTATTTGAGCATTTCAGTTCTAATTGTTACTGCCTCTTGCAAACTGGCAATGCCCCATTAACAACAGTGACCCTTGGCTACTTAAAATGGTTGGAAGAACATCATATAAAGTGCACAAGTCCTGTTTAAAAAATGGGCAAAGTGAATAATACAGTGCCCTCCATTCAAATAAATGGGCTTAACTGGGTTTCATATTTTCAAAAATAAGGAATGATTTTTCTACTTTACACTGACAGCTTAGTCCAAACTAAAACATTACATTATGTTTAGTGACAAACTAAACATTACAGCATGAAATGGAGTTTGATTTGAAAGGACTTTTCTCTGACCAGATAGACTTCAATTATCCTTCCTTTCTCAATTTTCCCCAGACTTGCTTTGCTTTTGGGGAGAACAAATTATCTTACTAGGTGAAGAGGTCTGAAGATTTCAAGAGCTAGCACATTTTTGTGACCTTCTAAAGTCAATTTTAGTGGGTGTAGTTTTCTTTTCTTTTTCTAACCAACATGTCTTATTTCCTTTTTTTTTCTTTCCTAAAATAAGTCACATTGACAAATATTTTGACTTTTTATAGTGATTGTCACTGAGAAACCAAGAAATTAGGATGAATTAGAATTGGATCTTCTGAAAAGCAAACAGCATGCCAAGATCCATGATATTATTTTCTTGACTGTTGTCAATGATTATTTTATACAACTTTTAAGTATTTGAAAATGTTGCTGCTACTTCTCAGTATTCCAAACAATGAAACCCCCCTAGGCAATGTATTCAGAAGCCTTCACTGAAAACCTGCTGGGAGTTTGCCCTCATCTGTGGGCTCACCTCTCAACTTTGTACTGACTCACTTCTTTCAGTGAATCCAGAATCCATCCTCCTCCACATGTTTCAGCCCCCTGCCTTTCTGTACAGCCAATTGGACAGCATCAGGGAAATATTGCTATTATACTGCATGTTCAGTATAATGCTTCAGGCTGGCAAAAGATTATCTGGTTCAATATCATACTTCCTCTGAGAAAGAATATACAGGCAATCCTCAACTTACAACAGTTAATTTAGTGACCATTTGAAGTGACAATGGCACTGAAAAAAGTGACTTACGAGCATTTTTCATACTTATGACTATTGCAGCATGCCCATGGTCATGTGATCAAAATTCAGACACTTGGCAATTGACCTATATTTATAATGGTTGCAGTGTCGCAGGTTCATGTGGCCATCTTTTGCGACCTTCTGACAAGCAAAGTCAGTGGGGGAGCCACATTCACTTAACAACTGCAGTGATTCACTTAACAACTGTGGCAAGAAAGGTCGTAAAATGGGGCAAAATTCACTTAACAAATGTCTCACTTAGCAACAGAAAAGTTGGGCTCAATTGTGGTTGTAAGTCGAAGACTGCCTGTATTTAGATTGATGGATTTTGCATCCAGATTGCAAATAAGGGGAATAAAGACTCATCTATGGAAAGATTTGGACATTCTTGGTTTGATATGAAATTTATACTTTCCAACTGTAGAAGGTAAAACTGTAAAACACAAAGCACACACAAATGCATCTGTTTTGTTGATACTAAAAATGCAATTTCTACAGCTCCAATAGTTTTCAATCTACTATACTGAATCTGATTTGTGTATTTTCTTTATATTTTTAGAAGTCTCTGCAGTGTTTGAAGCAAACACTTCTATTACCTACACATTTCAGGAACCTTATCCTGTAACTAAAAATACAAATTCTACATCTTCGGCCATTTATGCGGGTACATCCATACCCAAGGAAAAGGTCGCTTTTACTTTCCTGACAACAAATGCTCCAAGCCTTCTGTTTTACCTCAATGCTTCTTCTCATGAGTATCTGGCTGTTATTTTGTCCAAGAATGGTAAGTGTGAGTGCAAAGCTTAACAATTCCATGACAATATAACTTCACAGGACCTACTGTGAAAACAAAATTGAAGCAAAGCTTTGGAACCTGGTTGCATAAATACCATCATATTATGAATTTTAATTACCTGACTAATCAGATTTTCTACTCTTGAACTTCCATTCAGAACCATAAAAATATGTCCTTTCCTAAAGAGCCATATTGCTGAAGGTGAACAGTGCTGTGATTCACAGTTGCTGACAATGCATAATACTATTTGCATTTGGCAGAAATCCATTTGCTTCACATAATTTTTATGAGAATGAAAAATGCTCATCTTGTGAAATTATATCTCCAGGTAAGTATACCTAAGTGTGTTTCATGGAAACATTGACCCACTGATTCTTTGACACATTATATTTCTATGTTTCTACTTTTCAAATTTATCTGATATTAATTTTGTCTCAGTTACTTCATTCTTCATCTGTTTCATTTTCTTTTTGCTTTCTGTTCTGTTTTATCTTGCTTAGTGATGGTTTGGGAGTGTTCTTTTATTTCTGTAATGATAAAAAAAAAACCTGCTCTGGAGAAAGTCTACATGATCATGTTATTAACACTAAACTGAAAGGTTACAGTGATTTTCTGATGTTTTACATGAGAGACAGAAAGCACATGTTTGAATTTTGAGAAATTTTTGCAATAGTGTTGTACCTTTATATATGCAAAGATACAAAACAATTCAACCTCAGTTTTTATTGCAACCCCCAACATTTTAATGTAGTTTTCTGTTGTTCCTTCCCATGTAATATACATACACATTTTTGAAAACTTCTTGTATATAAAGATATATAAAAATCCTAATCTCCATCCTCATGAAAATATTTCATTTCCCATTTTTGCAGATAACAAGTTATCCAACTATTAATCTTAAATTTTCAATATTGGTTGCGTCTCAGTGCAAAGAACAGTGGGAAACTAATAAGCTTTCTTTCTAACCTTTATAATGAGTTTGGAGAAATCCCATTCATTGCATTGCCTTGGTTCAGAGATGGTGGCGGGCAGAATCATGACAGCTATTTGCAGTGTTAAACACAAATAATATGTATATTATCTAGTCTATCAAGTCTGTAAAACCTGAATCAAAAGAAGCTCCCTGCAGCGCAAAAGAGGATTCAAACTCCTAGTAAGTTTCACCAGTGCAGAGAAGGCTGCTCCATTTCATTACTTTCTTTGCAGTTCTTCAGTATCTCAGAAGACTCAAATATTTTTCTCTAACAAAACCTGAAACAGATTTTTGAATAGGCCCAGAATACTTTTCCTCAGTGGTAGAACTACAGTATATAAATTGGACACTGACATTTTAATTCAAGGCATGCCTAGTGGAATTAAGCCCCCTTGCATTTATTATGCATTAATTCTAGTAAGTGTCTAGATAAGTCTGGTCCTAGAAATTTACAGTTACATCACTAATAATAACTTATTTTGTTCACTTACATTCCCTGATTGTTCCTGGAAGTTCAAATTAATTCATTCATTTATGTGGCCAGTGCTTAGTTTTATCCTCACTGACCTTCACTTATTTCCTGAAATACGCTTTCCAATAATTCTTAGATCAGAAAAAAAAAAGATATTTCAAATGAGTGATGTGGGAGTACTGAATGAAAGGTTTAGCTATCTGTCCCTCGATTTAACATGACAGACTTTGACTTGAAGATCATAGCATTTCAGCTGCTATTGTTATTAAGCTGCTCATCAGATTCCTTCTAAATTGTTCTGGACCTCCTCTTTTTATATTTCCTGAAATGATATGAAATGAAATGTATTAAGATTACAGATTATATAGGACATCTAAACCTCAGCGACACTTTGAACTCAAAACTTGACTTAAATTTTATCAAAAGATTTTTTTCTATATGCAATAAAGCTAATAATATAGATTCTTACTAAACCACTGTATAAGACCATTATATCAATCAAAAGTCCTATGTTATCTAAATCTTGATGCCCTTTATGAAACCAGCTTGTGCAGGATGAATGATTGCTGGTAATATTTTCTTGCCAGTTCTGTAATCTTCTTGCCAAAGTAGCTGTTACAATTTTCACTTCAAAATTTATTAGAGATATTAGGCAATAATTTGTTCACTGGATAGGATTCTTACCAGCTTTCAAAATTACACTGAAATGAGTTACGTATTAAAAAGCTGAAAGAGTTTTCTTTTCTTTTCTGTAATAACTCCAGAAGCCACTTTCTCCTCCAATTCTTTACCATTATATGGCTATTCTCTTGTCTGGAACCCTTTATTTTATTATAATAATACTATAGATTTTCTGTAATATTCTGGGTGCAGCCCAACATACCTGGTGGTACATCCAAAGTTTCTGGAAGATGTATTGTGCTGAAAAAGCATTTATCTGATTATTAACTATATCTACCTAGGAGGGATGTAAATTATAGAATTAAAAAAAGTCATTGCAATTCAGGTAATTTATACCCCTAGCTCCAAACTGTTATTAAATGTTCTACTCTTTTACAAATGTTTTCAACAACAATCCAATAATTTCCTAGGTTTTTCTCCTTATTCATAACAAATTTGTTTGACTTGATTTAAAAAAAATGCTTTGTCTTTATATATTTAATTTTAAATATAATTATAAAGCATACAGTTAGTCCAATTTCAACCTGTAATACATCTCAAAGCATGATATACTTCCTGAGTGTGTTATGGTATGTCCATTCAGTATTTAATTAATTTCTAATTCATGTTTCCTACATTGTGATTCATTTATTTTCTGCCATATTACATAGGATAAAATGCTTTAAATATATCCCAAATACTCCCCAAATTAGTTAAATCTCTATTTATCATGTTTGAGATCTATTAAATTTTTGTATTGTTACCCCATACTTTTTTGTCCATTGCCTTCTGGTATTTGTAAATTAGACTTATTTGTAACTCAGTTTGGTTGTACACTAATAGAATTAAAGCATATAAAAACCACATGTATCATGGGAAATTATAGGCTGGGAAAATAACTAAAAGAAGTCAGTTTTAACTTGATGGAATCAGGTTTTTTTTTAAGTAATAAACATATATTATTACAAATGAGAATTATGTTGTAGTGCAAAAACAGGTTCAGTGAATTTATATACAGGTAGTTCTTGACTTACAACCATAATGGAGCCTTCCCATCATAGTCATAAGTTGTGACAGTCATAAAAAATTATGACTCTTTAATGGCCAATGGTTTGCTATGGGCAATACTGTTATAAAATGAGGTCATGCCATTGTGGGATATTGTAAATAGCTGTAAATGTGGCCCGGCTGCCTAAAAGATCTTTCAGCAAGGAAATAGTAAGAAACCACTAACTAGAATATTTTTATCTAAAGTGAATGGCATTAGTATGGGTGCATGATCAGAAATTAAAATCTAACCAGTATTGCACATATCAACTGAATTAAGCATCAGATATGATTTTAAAAATAATGCAGCCTTGAGCATGTCCCAGAAAGGAAAGCACACTTTTGCTGTTGGAGTTAAGCACTTTCCATATGTCCATTAAATTACATTTCTGGATGTATCTGTAAAGAACAGTGCAACTTTGGTCTGTTTTCTTTTCAGAAATCTTAATTATTGTCTAATAATAGATCCAAAACTAAGTTAAAGACAATTGGCAATAATTATCTAATTTGTCACCCAACGTGATTAGCAAAACCATTAAAATATTAGGTGTGTCTGTGGTTGAACCATAAAAATGTATCTATTCCCTCCAGTAATTTCTACATTTGGCACTATAATATACAGTGACCTTCAAAATTTAAAATTTCTTGTTCAAATATTAAAAATAAAATAAAATATGTCACTAAAACCTCCTCTCCTTTGGCAAAGTTAAAATTTTTACTTAAAGATAGTCCTGGACTTATAACCGTATCAGTCTGACCATCCAACACTAGGCATCTGGGCCACATTTACAATTATTTATAACATCCCGCCATCACATGGCCACATTTTATGACAATTTTGTCCATAGCAAACCATTGATCATAAAAAAGTCACAAACTTTTATGGCTTATGACAACTTATGACCATGATGGAAAGGCTCCATTATGGTTGTAAGTTGAGAAATACATGCATATAAATTCACTGAGTCCATTTTTGCACTAGAACATATTTCTCATTTGTAATAATATCTATTGCTTAAAAAAAACACTGACTCCATCATGTTAAAACTGACTTCTTTTAATTATTTTCCCAACCTATAATGTCCCATGACATACATGTGGTTTTCATGTGCTTTAAATTTATTAGTGTAGCAACCAAACTGAATTACAAATACCTGTAAGTCTAATGTACAAATACCAAAACATCAAAGCATCATGAAATAGTATTCATTTATTATTGCTGCAATAACAATCAAAACCCACTCATCTTATCATTATGTAACTTAGAAAAATATGTAATAAAAAGCAATAATTAAAAAATGATGAGGAATCAGAACAATAAAAATGTTACATACGAACTTCATAATAAAGCTTCAAATGTCTAACAATTAATTAAAAAGTGAAAATATTTGAAAATAAAATTAGAGCATACTAAGAAAAAAAACCCCACTCCTCTCTCTCCCTCTGAATTTCCACTAGATAAGGAAAATTAAACAACCAAATGAAGACAAAAACACAATTCTGTATTACCGAAAGACACACTGAGCCTCCAAATGAATAATGTCTGAGCAGACTTGGAATTTCTGCATCTATAATTTCTCTATAGCCTTCTGTGGTTTGAAATAATTAATAGATTTTTTCAAGCTAATAAAATTTCTTCATATCAATTTCAAACAATAAATCAATTTTTTCAGGATTCTGTTTGGCCATAAGATGAGTTTTGCAGAAATCTCTCCGCTTCTGTATCACTCTGAAAGGTAGATCAAAAAATGACATAAGCTTTTTTCCCTCTTGTTCCAAATTTGTTACTATTCCAGTAGTTTGTTATATTTTGTCTTGATCAGACCTCCCCAAAAA